GGAAAAAGAAAGGTTTATGTTTAGCTAAGTAAAATTTCAGGGGAAAAAAGAGCAAAAAGGAGGGATTTGCTCTGTTAAGATAGTCTGTAAGATGATGGTAAATATAAACAACATGGCACTGGCGTAGTCATAGACAAAGAGACCAACTAAGTTCAGAACCAGAGCCATATATAAATAGAAATATGATATATGATAAAAGTGGCATCAAAAATAAGCGAGGAAGGGACAGACTATTGTGTATAATTACAGAGAAAAATTGGCTTGCCATCTGGAGAAAAAGAAGCTAGATCCCCACCTTACACCAAATAAAGGAATATATTCCAGAGAGAGTAACAATCTAAATGTGATTCTCTGGAGAGTAATGACAATAAAGAAATGGAAAATGTAGGCTATGTTTGTGAAGTCAAAATGCAGGCTGAGTTTTTAAATTTTTTTTTTTCAACGTTTATTTATTTTTGGGACAGAGAGAGACAGAGCATGAACGGGGGAGGGGCAGAGAGAGAGGGAGACACAGAATCGGAAACAGGCTCCAGGCTCTGAGCCAGCAGCCCAGAGCCTGATGCGGGGCTGGAACTCACGGACCGCAAGATCGTGACCTGGTTGAAGTCGGACGCTTAACCGACTGCGCCACCCAGGAGCCCCTGGGCTGAGTTTTTAAACAAGAGCCCAAAGGCAACACTGAGAGTGATAAGATTGTATCCATCAGCTAGGAGAGAGAACTGGAAGAACCCAAGGAGAAGTTATGTACACTATACAGAATATTCCTAGGATGAGGGCAGCTAAGGAAACCACAAGGAGATATAAGTCTGTTAGGAAGTGTCATTATGACTTGCCTGTCCAAAATATTTTCCCCTGCCTCTACCTCTTTCCTATTTAAAATTAAGCACATATCCTTCAATAAACGTTTTTAAGCTCCAGACACTGTTAAGTATAGGAAGTACAAAGACGAATATGCTTGAGTTCTAGTCCTTAAAAAGTTCATAATCTAGTCAGGGAGACAGAGCAGAAAACTGAATGTTTTAACTCCTATCCTACAGGTAGAAACCAAGAGGCATCTACCTTCACCTAGGACATCAGTGAGAAGCTGTTTTTTTTTGTTGTTTTTTTTTTTTAATTTTAAAAAAAATATTTTTTTATTTTTGAGAGAGAGACACACACAGAGTGAGAATAGGGGATGAGCAGAGAGGGAGACAGAATCCGAAGCAGGCTCCAGGCTCTGAGCTGTCAGCACAGATGTGGGGCTTGAACTCACAAGCCACAAGATGATGACCTGAGCTGAAGTTGGACGCTTAACCGACTGAGCCACCCAGGGACCCCGAAAAGCTGGTTTTTGAGCAATGAGGAAAGTCATTCCAGGCAACATCACTAACAAAGAAACAGGACTTTGAAAGTTTATTGGAAAATGTTAAGTACGTAACCTAATAATGGACATTCTGAAATGTTTGTTATTGAATGCAGAAAGTACTTTATGGAGGTTATTTTAGTCTTCCCTTAGCAGCACTGATAATCACACTAGCTAATTATCACCTTTGAAGGCACAGCCAAAGAAGTACTAAAGTGATAAGGGGTAAATGTTAATGGTTAAGAAAGAGAAGCATGCTGCAAAGCACTGCCGACTAAGTGTGGAGTAGTAACAACTGTATAATGGATTTAGAGGAGGAAGAGGTTGCTGTCAGCTTCATTGGTTAGGGAAGATCTCATGGAAGTGGCAAAGCTTCACTTAATCATTCAAGAATTGAGAACTGACTGTATATATCAGGAGCTGTGCTTGGAGCAGGAACTTCAAAACTCAAAACTATAGTTACTGAAGGACAGATAATCAGATGCTTGCAAAAAATAAAGCAATGAGTGTTATGACAGAGGCAAGCATAGGCTGATGTGAGAAAACCTCAGAGGGACTCTTGCTTTAGAGCAGGGAGGTCAGGGATGGCTTTCCAAAGGTGATGCTGTATGCACTGAATTATGATGGATGAGTAGGATTTCATCAAGTGAAAGGGAAGGAAAACCATTCCATTTAGTGAGAGTGGCTCCATTTAGTGAGAGAACACACCTCCCTCAAGGAACATGGAATAATAGCTCAAAGTAATGGCTGAAAGGCAGTGAAGGAAGTTTCTTTTCTTTTTTTTTTTTTAATATTTATTTCTGAGAGGAGGGGAGGGGCAGACACACACACACAGAATCCAAAGCAGGCTCCAAGCTCTGAGCTGTCAGCACAGAGCCCCTTGCAGGGCTAGCTCAAACTTGTGAACTGTGAGATCATGACCTGAGCCCAAGTTGGATGCCCAACCAATTGAGCCACCCAGGCGCCCCTGTGAAGGAAATTTCTAAGGCAAATAGGTAGAGATTTGATTATGAAAGGCCTTTTATAGAATGTTAAAGAATTTGGAATTCTATCCTGAAGACAACGTGGGAGTTGATGAAGATTGTAAGCAGGGAAGTGACATGATTAGATTCAAGTTTTACAATGATTACTATTAAAGGCAATGATGATAAAGGCAATTGAAGATGAACTGATAATGGGGGCAGTCTAAGAGGCAGGGAGATTAAAAGGCTGTTGCTATTATTTATGGAAAATAAAAAAAGACTTCAAACATATACTAGCAGTGGTACTAAGAATGGGTAAGGTTTGAGCAGCCAGAGAAGGAAGTAGAGGCATTCCTCGTAGAAATGATAGGTATAAATGTTTGGAGAAGGGAAGGGTGAGCAGATCAGTTTGCGTGGAGTATACAGTATTTGACAGAAGAAAAATGATTGGAAGGCTGGAGCAGAAGGCCAGGTACGGAACAGTTGGTGATGAAGTTGAAAACAATGTTGGAGTCAGCCCGTGACAAACCTATCAAACAGGCTAAACAATTAGGATTTTGCTTTTCCCGTAGCAACATTAAATTAAAAAAATCACTTTTATTGTGGTAAAATATACATAAAATTTATGACTTTTATCATTTTTAAATGTACAATTCAATGACATTCAGTACATTTACATTGTTGTGCAACCATCAACAATGTTCCTCTCCAGAACTTTTTCCACATCCCAAACTGAAACATTTTACTCATTACAGAATAACTCCCCTACCCGCCCAGCACTGGCAACTACCATTCTACTTTGTATCTCTGAGAGTTTGGCTACTCTAGGTACCTCATAAGTGGAATCATACAATATTTGTCCTTTCGTTTCTGGCTTATTTCACTCCGCTAAATCACTTTAATCAACACTCTGATTATTCAGTGGTTGAATTCTAATTTCATTCTACTCTACATGCTATATTTTAAAACAAATGTCTAGCTTTCTTGATAATCTTTCCCACTTATTGCTTAAGGACACTTCAATCTAGCAAATTATAAAAAAGGGCTCCTAAGGGCAATTTTACTCTACCACTATCTATCATTAAAGAGCTTTTCATTGTCTACTTACTCTAAGCGTCTTTATATTGCAAATTATTTTCATTTCATTACAGTTTTACAGGTACTAGACCTTTTGCAAAATCCCACCTAGTACCTTTTTTTAAATTTTCTTTTATTTATTATTTTGAGAGAGAGCGCGTGCGGGAGCAGGGAAGGGGCAGGGAGAGAGACAGACAGACAGACAGACACAGAATCTGAAGTAGGTTCTAGGCTCTGAGCTGTGAGCGCAAAACCCAACGGAGGCCTTAACTCGTGAACCGGGAGATCACGACGTGAGCCAAAGTCGGAGGCTCAACGACTGAGCCACCCAGGCGCCTCCTACCCCGTCCCCGCCCCCACCTCCACCTAGCACCTTAATGATAGAAAATAATAGCAAATAGACCAACTCAGGCAGGATCCAAACTTCCTCAGAAGGGAAGTTAATTTAGGATGCTGATATGAAGGCTCTGTCTTTTGATACTATTTATTTTCCCTGTGACTGAATCGGCTCTACATAAAGAGAATTAAAAACACACTGTTCTTATCTTTAGCCAGGGAAAAGTCTGAAGTTTCAGATGCTTGAAAACTATTAGAGAACTAATAAGATTATCTCACCTTTCTTTTGGGGCATCCCTAGATCATTACTGTTCTACCATCAAGTTGAGTAATTCTGGACAAAACACTAATCCTCTGGAAGTTTCACTGGGTTAGATTATACCAGCCTGTGCTTCCCAACCTTGTCCACACCACAGCACACACTATACGGTATTGCAGGACACTGAGATAAACGGAGGAGGCAGTACAGCACACCTGGAACCCACTGGCCGCCGTGCGTCCTCGCACAACGTGTAGACGCTCTCAAGGAGCGCTCCAGTCCGCAGGTTCGTTCCGGCTGATGCGCCACAGCCGTCTATACACAGGACGAGTGGGGCTCCCGCTGTTTCTGAAGTCAGAGGCCTTTCCCTCCGTGCATAAAAATAAAGTCTTTATTCCATAAGCGGACCAAAGCGTAAAAAGGCACAAAGGCCTCAAACGAGGTAAATACGCAAAATATCAAAGTACCGCACTCGCCCAGCGCGCTCTCCGCCGAGCTTACGTCTCCTCCCAGCAGGCTCCGGGAATCACCGCGAGACTTCATCAATTCTCGCGAGATTTATCGGCAGCCATCTTCTTGGGGGTGCTGGGAGCCGGGAAGACCCCCCGAATCGTTTCCATTGAGCTGCCCTTCGTTTTCGCTTTCTTCACTTTTGCCTGTTCTGCGTTGCCAACACCACCTGGTTCCGAGGCTGAGAGAAAGCTCGGATCTAGGCGCGTGTCGACCTCCCGGTCCAAGAAGATTTGCTTGGGTGGAGGGGAAGGGGAGGGCTCGGGCAAACCGTTGCTGCCTCAGCCTGGGCCGGGGTCCGGGGACGGAGAGCTCCTGGCACCCCGTGGATTCGCGGCCTGCGACGGTACCCGCAGAGCTGTTCGCCGATCCGGGCTCGCGGGAACCTGCCACCGGCACCTCCCACCGCGGCCCACGCGGGCGGCGCGCGGAGGAGGGGGCGGGGGCAGCGGCGGCTGTAGCGGCCGAGACCTGGGCGGGCGGAGGAGTGTGACGGGCCTCGGGGCCGCTGTGGATGGTTTCTAAAATGATCATTGAAAACTTCGAGGCACTCAAGTCCTGGCTCAGCAAGACTCTCGAGCCCATGTGAGTATCCGGGGGCTATCTCCTTGCAGGGATGGAAGTGGGAGATAGGCGGACACATAGATCTGTGCAGTTTCCCCCAAGTGCCTGTGATGGAGGCCGAAGCGGTGAACGGAGGTCCCAGGGTTTTTTTGTTTTCTCCTTCTTTTCCACCGTCACTCCCAGGTTTAGGAGAGCCTGAGCTGACCTTTATCTTATCACCGAGTTGGTCCTTGAACTGGTATCTTCTCTTGTTTTCCCGTTATGTGTAGATCGACCCCAAGCCGCACACACATTAGACGAGGGCCCCCAAATCCGTTTCCTTTCGTTTAATGAATCCAATCATAACGTCTTGCCCACAGACTAATATACCTTGTTTCTTTAAGTGAAGTGAAATGGCCCTTATTAGGGATTAGGGCAGTTGTAGTGCAGGCCACTCACGTTTTACATAAATACAGTCCCTGAAAGAAAGGCCACGTTTCCCATGTGCTGTCTGGCTCATCCGCACCTCTTCTAACTGATTGAAGATGTAACAGGTGCTAAGGTACCCAGTAAGATTCCCTTTTCCCACCTACACGTTTGTTAAGTTGGAGAGGAGGAAGAAAATGTTATCTATCCATATGGAATATTTAGCAGTTTTAAGTGGGTTGCTGTAGATGGATTGTGTGTGTGTGTGTGTGTGTGTGTGTGTGTGTGTGTGGAGGTTTGTGTGTTCAGGGTGCCGGAATGTTTTAGATTGAAAAAATGAGTGTTTTAAGGATTTGTCTTTACAGTAATACATACAAAATATATCTTGATCCAGGTGCTTTATCAAGATTGGTTGATTTACAGTAAACAACTTAAAATATGGAAAATCCACTCATTTAATGAGTTTATCCAGTGCCTGCTATGTACTCTGGGAGGCTTTGGTAGAGCTTTTAAATTCCGAAGTTGACAAGACAATAATAAAGGAGTATTAAATAAGATAACTTCAGATAAAAATAGGAATGGCGGTTGTAATAATACAGGATCATATAAAAGGGTGATTAGAAGACTTCTCACAGGAGTTAGCGTTTGAACAACACTTAGGAGAAAACCATCTGTGTCAGAGTCTGGAGAAAGACTTTTCCTTGCAGAAGGAACAGCAGGTGCAAAGGCCCTTTAGCAGATATGATCACAGTGTGTTCCAGGAAGACAAAGAAGGCAATGTGACTGCAAGGAACCTTGTGATGGGGGTGGGAGAGAATGGAAGGACATGAAATTGGAGAAGTTGTTAGGGCAAATTATGTAGGATTTTCTAGGCCATGGTCAAGAGCTAGGATTTCATTTATAATGAGAAGACCTTAGATACTTTAAAGCAGGCAGGGACTGGTTTGAACTCTTTTTTTTTTTTTTTTTTTAATATGTTTATTTATTTTTGAGAGAGAGACAGAGCGTGAGCAAGGGAGGGAGGGTAGAGAGGGAGACACAGAATCTGAAGCAGGCTCCAGGCTCAGAACTGTCAGCACAAAGCCTGACGGGATCCTGACCTGAGCCACGAGATCATGACCTGAGCTGAAGTCAGATGCTTAACCAACTGAGCAACCCATGTGCCCCTCATTTGATCTTGTTTTTTTTTTTTTTTAATTTTAATTTAATTTTAATTTATTTTATTCTTGAGAGAGAGAGGGAGATACAGAATCCGAAGCAGGCTCCAGGCTCTGAGCTGTCAGCACAGAGCCCGATGTGGGGCTTGAACTCACAAACTGTGAGATCATGATCTGAGCCGAAGTCGGACGCTTAATGGACTGAGCCACCCAGGCCTGTTCTTGTTTTAATGCTGCCTGCTTTGTGGAGATTAAGGGGGCAGGCATTAATGTGAGGAGACTGTTCTGAGGGCATTGTAGGCAGAAATGTGAGTAGTTTGTATTAGAGTGGTAGTGGAAACAACAAAATATGTTTTATAAGTGGATCTGATAGAACTTGCTGATATTGATTGGATGTGGGAGATGAGGGAAAGGGAAATCAAGGATGATGACCAAGAAGTTAGCAACTGGATGGGTGATGATAGAGAAGGGTGGGAGAACACATTGAGGGGAGGAGGAAAGATAGTTGGTTTTGATCAGTAAATATAAAGTGTTATACATCTGAGTTAGATGTCAAGTAAGTTGTTGGGTTATGAGTCTAGAACTCAGGTGAAGACTAGAGAAATTTGGAGTCATGCAGATAGTATTTGAAACTATGGAGTTGTGGGAGATTTCCTAATTAAGAATGTGTTGATAGGGAAGAAAGGAGGGCCAAGGTCTGAGGTAGAAGGTTGAGATTTATGTTACTAAAGAAACAAAAGAGGTGAGTTGTCAACTTGATGGGATGTTACATAATGGCCGAAAAGGATGAAGGCAGATAAGTGGCCCTTAAGTTTGGAATGGTAGAAGTCATTGGTAGCCTTAGCAAAACAGCTTCATTGAAGTGGGGTGCTCTAGATCCCTTATTTCAGCAAATGGAGAGAAAATACGCAGCAGTGTAGTGTGGTAGTTGAGAGGACAAACTCTGGAACCAGAATGGCTGGCTTTGAATATCGTCTCTGCCACTTTGCCAGCTGCTTAAAATTGGGTAAATTACTTAACTCAGTGCCTCCTGTTTCCTCATCTGTATGGGGGAAATAATGAATATGTATTAATCTTTGAACACTGCCTGGCTTGTAATTAGTGTTCAATAAGTACTAGGTGAACAGAAAACTTAAAATGTTTTAAGTTGAAATAGCATTCCTTTTTAAAAAAAACTTTTTTGAATATAGTTTACACATAATGTTACATTAGCTTTAGGTATACAATATGGTGATCCAGTATCTTTATATTTTATGCCATAATCTAAAAGAAGGTTATTTATAGTTACTTCATGTGTATGCTTGTGTTTTTATTCAGTTTTAATAAAGCATATAGTTACTTCATGTGTATGCTTGTGTTTTTATTCAGTTTCAGGTATCATATAGCTTACTCAGATGACTGTAGCACTGCAGTCATTACTGGTAGAATAAATAAGGCACTGCTAGCTAGAGTACAGCCTAAACCCTGGTAGGAATTGGAATTGGTCCTTTCATAATGTACATTGCTGTGGTAAAATTGAGCCCTTATCCAAGTTCCTGTCCCTTTAATTGCATTTCAGATGAATTCTTGTAACTTTGAAAGCTAATTCCAATTATTTAAGATTTGTGGTTTCTAACCTTGGTTTTGTGAAACTTTAAGGTGTATTTGTTATCTGAAAGGATTTTTTTTTTACTTTAAAACTATAATTGCCAAATAGCACCTGTTTGAAGGAGAACATTTGAAGGACCAAGGGTAAGATGTAACTCAGAACTTGTATGGAACTATCTAGCTACTCATGCTAGTAAAGCATCTCATGGTTTTGGACTTCCTCTGCATTTTGAGTATGTTAATTCAGCAAACATTGAGTACTTAATCTACTTTGTACTGAGCGGTGTGTTAGATATTGGGGATAGTGGGAAATGAGCAGAGAGGACTATCTTCGTATTGTTTACCGCTTAGCAGGGAAGACGTGTTGAACAAGTAATTACAAGGCCAGTGAGTGTTACTAAGCCCAGAATGCTGTCAAAATATATGTCTGGGAGGTCAGGAAAGGCTTTGCTGATATGGTAACATTTGATCTTAGCCTGCAAGGATGAAGAGCAGTTTGCTAGGCCAAAAAGATGGGAATGGAGAACTGTGAAAGCATCCTAGATTTTGAAAAACAGATTGTATGAAAGCCCAAAAATGGAAGAAAAAAAGTGTCTTGGGGAAATTGAAACAAGTTGGAAAAAATAAAAAAAAGCAAAGGGAAGAATAGCAGTGGATAGCTCAGAGAGAGAAGCAGGAACATTCAAGACTTTGTTGAGTCATGTTAAGGATTTTGGATGTTAATTGAAGGATAGTGGGAAGCCAGTGAAGGGTTTTAGAAGCCAGAGAGCTTTCAGATTGACATAAAAACAAACACGAAATCCAGCCTGGTTGCACTGTTTTGGCATGAAATGAAAGTTGGCAGATCTGCATTTAATGATTGTAAGGTCTGTAGATATGTCAGGGTTTTGAGTTTTGTGGGTTTTTCACATAAATTATTGAAAATGTAGGTGTTAAAATTGGCATCTTAAAATACTTAAGATTGATGCTATATTCTCAAACATTTGCTTAGTCATGCTTGCTAATAATAAAATGAAATTAGATGTTGGTCTTTAACATTCATTTCTTTTTGCTAATTTGAAGTCCTGGAAAAAATTTTAAGCTTTTTTTTTTTTTTTT